ATTAAGAGGAAACTAAAACGAAAAGGGCATTATAAGAAACCCAAACACTTCTTTATCGGATACCAGTAGAACCAAATTCAATTATAATTTCGCCAAGGCACTCCAACAGAATTATCAAAAGTGGTATTTTTGACTTCTGTTAGACACCCTTATTACCTATACTCTTTGAAAAACTTTTATTGAAAAAAACTGAGACCAATAAGCACCAATTTCAGTGTTTGGAATTCGCCCGTAAATAGAAATCGATGTGGCCTTATAATACAGTATAAACGAATACACGGAATCGAGTTTTTTTCTTGTAATTATTTCCATAGCTAAACTAGACAAGCTCGGGAAATTACAAAATATTAGATTATAGACAGAGAAGTAGATGAATATAGCACGACATGCTATAAAATCATAAAATTAATAAAGCTGTTACCTATACTTGGACGTTACCGATCACAAAAGAATACGCATAAAGTTTATGGTCACATGACGTTACATATATTTTGAAGGATGAGAATTGATATAGGAGATCAAGGCCGAATTTTGTTTGATTTTGGAAGATTGTAGTGCCCCTGTTGTCCATGCACCTGTAGGAAACACCCCATGGACGTCTTAGATTTTCCAATTTCGATCTATTACAGCAATCAATAAATTTCTAATCAGTTTCAACACATATATAAATTTTAGAGTGCGTCTGACAGTTAAATCAGATACAATTACGCACCAGTTTTATTGTAGATAGGCCTACTAATCACATTGTTATCAAGTAAGATGCATAGTTCGAATAATAACAAGTAAACTAAAAGGAAACTATGGTAATGACTGTATTTCCTTTCGGTTTTCAACTCGATCGTAGTAAGCAGCCATGTATGACGTAGTTTGGGGATTCATGACACGCGATCTCACAGATTAATTTGTCATGTGATCACTGTATTCCGTCATACAAGAAACTATGCGTTAGACATCAGGCTCATTTACATATTTATGTGTAAGAAAGTATCACAGTGGACCAAGTGTAATTTCCTATCGCGTGATGCCACTAATAGAGTTGGGTGGGAGATCAAAAGGATTATTTAATGAAGTGGAAGAACACAACTTTAAAGGCTGTAGTTTTAGTTAAGCGCATTAAAACTATGCCCGACAATTACATCAAGTTCATAAAGCAGCCTTTTATCACGATGTTAACGACCGATGCTGATTAACTATTTTCTAATAACTATTTGGTTTATACTCATGAGTATAAATTGTATAAATATTATTCTTATCGGGGAGTATAATCTCTAAGTTCTTATGACTACGGAAAGAAATAATTGTCAGGCGACGAAACATCCGGTCATCTTATCATTCATCAGTGTCAACTTGCCCCTCAGCATCACTGTTTATTTTATTATTCTTGACGATTGTAACCCCAAAAGTGTTAACAGGGTTTTGTAACAATGGCATGAAATTGGGGTTATCCCACAAGATATCTGTTATCAACCTAGAATTGAATGTTTACCACATTATGACGCTTTATGTACATATATGTGAATCTAATAAAGACTTTCAACAGGCATATTGAGCGCTTACATAATGCATCTTCAAAATATCCCATATTGTCCTTGCTTAAAAAGTATTTTATAAACCAGAGAATTCATTTTGTCCCAAAAGTGATAAAACATTGAAGACGAGGGCTCTAATATAATAGCCCCCCCCCCCCCACCATCTCCCTTTTAAATATTTTAGATACCTGAGGAGAGTTACACTGCACTTGCTTCAACATTAATGGTTTAATAATCGTAGGAGTAGAACATTTATTAAAGAATATACCAATTTAATTAGTTCGATGATATTTTCTTTGATTTCACAATACTATTCACTTGTTGGAGATGATTAAATGAAATGCCATAGGGATCGACACTTATTTGACGTTCTAACCCATGACGTCAACTGGCTGACTATCGCCATTCAGAAGACGTATTTGTTTTGTTTTTTTTATTTTGAGTGGAGCCCGTATCATTACACTTGAAGTGATATTTGTATTTTTATTTCTTGCAGTGTCTGTGTATTTTGTCTTGTCCGCAGGTTTGTTTTATCGGTTTTATTTTGCTTGTTGTGTGGAGTAAAGCCAACTTCTCTTCGCCCACATGATTAATGTGCAGTATTTTATCGCAATGTCTTGTTTTTGCTCTCTATCCAAATTGACATTGACTGCACCAACAGGGAAAATAAGATCACTAATATAATAAATTATTTTTCTGGTATGTTCTGTTTTTTGTTATTTATTGAATTAACTCGATCGGTATAATGCTATCATTGCGAATATGCTACATAAGTGGTGGACGATGATATGCTTACATAATTTAATGCATCAAAATTCAATAATCTAACAAGACCACGTTTAGACAAACTCTAGACAGTACACCCACTTCGGCTCATATGCACCCACTCATACAATGAAATGGGGTTTAACGTCCTACTGTTTTATCCAGGTGAGGGAAATTTTGCGTTACGGACTACTCTTATATCGAATTTCATCTGCCAATGTGTACACGGGACCTTGTCAGGCCCTCCGTCACGCCGGAAAATCCCGAGGAACCTTCTCGGCGAACAACGGGAGCGAACCCGATACCTTCAGGCTAGCGAGCCAGAACCTTACTCACCTAGTCAACGTGACCCCCCCCCCCCCACACACACACACACACGCACACCTCATACAAATTGATAATGTTATTATCTGTACAAATGATTTAATGATTATAAAACTCCAATCAAAACTGTGATGCGTTGGAGGAAAAAAGTGGCGGAAACGTTTTAACACGACGTCACACTTCCCGTCACCATTTCTGAACGGAATTGCATTCCATTAGTGGTACGCATTTTTATGTAGACTTCAGTTAAAGAAAATAAAATGTCTGTATATTCAGGTCACATCAATGTTTTACTAATACAGATTTCTATAATTGCATACAGTGGTATATAGTTGACAAGGCATCTTTAAGAGAGAGAGAGAGAGAGAGAGAGAGAGAGAGAGAGAGATAAATGAGGGTTAACGTCCACTCGACACAAACTAGGTCATTTCGGGACTAACCCATGGTTCAATTTTATTTCAATAATTCGCTTGCGCGTAGGAGTCTTTAGCAGCGGGGGGAAACCGGAGGGCCCAGATAAAACCCACGAGGTTGGACAGGCGACCCTACTCTTTGTCACGTACAACGGAGGAATCGAAACCCCGCCAGTTGACTCCTTGACAGACCGTATGATACAGCGCGCACGTGCTAATCATTCGGCCATCCAACCCCCCTGACAAGGCATCTTTGAGTTGACTAACAAAAATAAATCTGTCGATTTAATTATGTTTGATGTGAATTGCAAAAGTGGGTATCGGTCAACATTAAAATAATTACTTCCACATTTAAAACGAGCATCATTTGCATGGAATAGCATAAGTTTAGTAATTTGAATAACTATTCATCAGACAATGAACGGGCATAAGCGAAAAGTGGCGCCATGAGGAATGTCTTTATTTGACAAAAGAATGCTTGTATTTCAATATGAAGACATAGTCAGATAGCATGTTTTAAGAAGTAATTGCTCTTTGTTTATTACAGATTCAACAGGGGATCATGGTGGCTAGTGGACAAGGCGCTGGCTCGCTAGTGGAGGTCGGGTGTTCGATCCCTGCATTGGCCGAGAAAGTTCATCCAGTTTTTCCGGCGTGGTTACATCTTGTCAATGATGCAGGACGGAGGGCCTGACAAGGACAGCTGTCTAGTCGTTTGGATGGGACGATAAACCGAGGTCCCGTGTACACATTGGCGTGCACGTAAAAGATCCCTTGACAGTTGGAATTCGATATTAAAGTAGGCCTTAGTGCCGCTGTCCGGGCAAAATTTCTCTCATAGCACACTGTACGCCCGTCTCCATTAGCCCAGTTCGAAAGCAGAACAGTAGGACGTTAAACCCCATTTCATTTCATTTCACAGATTCCACACTGGGTCCATATCTACTGCTTTCTAATTAAACGTGTATTAGTACACACAGTGGAACTTACGTTGGAAGGGGAGTAACTCCATTATGCAATGCAATAGCCAGAACAATTTTAAGATGCTTGCGTTTTAACTACACGATCACTAATGTAGATTGAAATTATAAATAAGCAGATTTAAGGACTCCGATTTGACTTCACGGAATACTGAAATGCAATGGCGTAGTCTCGAAGACGACATCTGATAAATTCGTCGAGAGACTGTCTCTGCATACCAAAAGCATACTAAAACCGCGAGTTTTGTGTAATAAACACGTTTGAACGTTAATCATAATCGAATAAAGATGTTGAACTTTAGGAGTTCCATATCATATGTACGCGATTTTTGTACAATCAGAGGCAACTATTCGGGTATTTCCGGTATGAACCCATCCGAGATCTTTGGGATACAAAAGATGTGTTTTAAGTTTCACGGAAACCAGATAAAAATTATGGCCACAGACAATTAATGTGGAGAGACAGACGGGTGGACAATGGCGACGGCACAGTACGTCAACATAAGGAGTCCAGAGTTATCCCGCGATAACACCATGTCCATGCTTATGCCGGTATAGATCAGTGTTTCCCAACATGGTGTACATGAAAAAAAGACAGCCAGGTAACATGCAGCAAGAAATTGTTGGTATTCGGTCAATGAATATCAATCATATCAACAGGAATGATCAGAATGACTTTATTAGTATCTATGTAACACATGGTGACAAACACAATAAATCCGAACATCCCTAATATGGGAAATATGACTGAACAGAGCAAATGTATATTGGGGGGGGGGGGGGGAGGTCTCGTATGTAAAACGGTTGGCAACCACTGGTATAGACGAATTACTAAACTATCTGCCGCACTACAACCCCATTTAGCCCTCGTAATACTACTATTACATGTAATACTACTAGGTCTAAGTTTCGTCATTTCCATTAAATAGCAATGTTAGTACGTAATATATGGTATTTTGTTTTTAATCAGACTATGTATAAAAGACACACAATTTGAAGATGTATTTTATTAGAAAAATTAAAGATTGTTCTTGATATAATAGATCCTTTTATGATAACATTTTTTTTTTTTACAAAATAAAAAGTTTTGTAAAGAGGGTAAAGGAAAACATTTAGAGGTTTTATCACACTGGATATCAAAACGTTAATTACCGAGATTCATAAGTTTTTGTGTGATATATGAGAAAAAACTACTAGCAGATTGACCTCCACATCTTGCACTTAATTTACCAATTTCTCTCCAGATTCTGAAATACAGAAAATAACGGAATGTGTGGATTTTTAAAGTATATATACTTTTAGTTTTTATACGGCCACATTGCACTGTAGCCATACGAGGACGAGTCTTATCGATATTCAGCGTCCCGTCCCATATAGGTTTAAGAAAACCTTGTGAACACGATAGAGACTATAATTTTTATCGGATGTTTTCAGATTTAGTGGGAAGCATTGGGGTCGGGAGAGAATGAATCCTATTGATGTTCAGAGTACCGCGACTTTCTGTTCCAAAGTTAAGCCCCTTTTCCGAAACACTGTGAACATGGTTCAGGCTAGAGTCTTTAATAAATTTGTTTCAAATCTGAATCATACGGAAGCTCAAATACGAAATATTTTTGTTTATTTCTTTTCCTATTTTTATTTTCAATTTTTAATTTTGAAAAAAGTAATTTCGAATTTCTGTTTTTAATTTTCAATTTTGTACAATAATTTTCAATTTTGTACAATAATTTTCAATTTTGTACAAAAATTTCAATTTTGTACAAAAAAATTCAATTTTGTAAAAAAAATTCAATTTTGTAAAAAAAATTCAATTTTGTACAAAAAATTCAATTTTGTACAAAAAAATTCAATTTTGTACAAAAAATTTCAATTTTTAACAATAATTTTCAATTTTGTACAATAATTTTCAATTTTGTACAATAATTTTCAATTTTGTACAATAATTTTTAATTTTGTAATTTTTAATTTTTATTTTTTATTTTTTATTTTCAATTTTGTAAAATAATTTCTGATTTTGTAAAATAATTTCTGATTTTGTAAAATAATTTCTGATTTTGTAAATTTGTTTTCAGAACCATCAGACCGCCCCGGTTCACTTACATCTTGTCCAACCTCGTGGGTTTTCTCCAGGTCCTCCGGTTTCCTCCCACTGCAAACGACCCCTACGCGCAAGCGAATTATTGAAATAAAATTAAACCCTAATTTAAGTTAGTCCCGAAATGACCTAGTTTGTGTCAAGTGGGCGTTAAAACCATCTCTCTCTCTCTCTCTCTCTCTCTCTCTCTCTCTCTCTTTCTTACTGGTAGTAGTTGCGATGGGACAAAAAATTGAGGTCTCGTGTACACATTGGAGTGCACGTCAACGATCTCTTCGCAGTTGGAATTCGATATAAGTTTAGGCCGTAGCGTCGCTGTGGGGATAAAATTTCCTTCATAGTACACTGTACGGCGTATGTCCGTCTTCATTAGTCTAGTCGAAGCAGAACTGCCGAAGTGCTATTAAACTCCTGACTCCCACCAACTCGTAATATTTACCCGTCTTTGTGTGATCGGTCGGATTGCTAGTGTATTATACATGTATAGTACTTACTTGAAGGATGCAGAGTCGAAGAGATCTCTAGCTTCGAACACTTTAGAGAAGGCTCCCTTGTTGTCCCAAAATATATCACAGAAACCACTGTCTAGATAACAGTCACCCATGATGTTAAAGGCTTCATGGCTTAGATCATGACAATTTACTTCCTCATTTCCATAGAAACGTTCAGATAGTTTCCGAGTCATACATTGTTGTGACACAGTGAGAAATTCTTGACCCTTTTAAAACAATTTAAAGTACACTATATTTCAACCATAGAAAAGGCAACGTAATAAATGTAAAATTTGTGGGTTTACAGATATTCGAAAAATCAAACCTTAAATACCTTGCAGCCCGATTCACTGCCTGTGTATTTACTATAATAATACCAAGAATATATTCACTGTTTATCTTTACAATTTAATGTTAGCAAGTCAGTTACACCCACTTTTGAAATACCGATGTAACAAAATGTCGAAACCGAAGTTAACTACTGAAGATTTAGTAATGACTACATACAAATAAGCTCATTTAAAACAAAACTATAAGAATAGGCGAAATTCAAAAACTAAAATACTACTATATTATAAACTATATCAGAATCTCTGTTAGGTCCAAATGGATTTTATGAGACTGCAAACGATAGATAAGTCAACCGACATTTCATATTTCAAACAGTAAAGGTTAATACACTTCGACGATTTTAAATAATTTAACAGGGCAAACTATCTGCAAGACTTTAAATTTTCAAGCATAAGCCAGGTAACATATAAGAGTAAACCCTCGGCGGAATCAGAAGATATTTCTTGTCAACCCCCCCCCCCCCAACAAACGAATGTCTTAAATCTAGCAGAAATTATTGTCCTGTTTTACAAAACAAATGTCTTTTCACCAATCATTAGTTTTATTTAATAAACTCTTAATAAAACAACTTCAAGGGTCAAGCTACTTGAGTTAACAGATTTCAAGTAATGCCAAATGTTTGTTTCAATAGTTACATAATATGGACGATTAACTGATTCAAAGGTCGAACAAAACAAATAATGTGAGATAAGAAAGACCTTGTCTGCGATATCACCTCGGTGGAAGCGGACGTAAAATACAACTAACTAACAACAACATAAGAAAGACCTTTGTCTATAAGTTAGTATACCCATTAAAATGCATTTAACTAATATAAGTATTCGTCACTAACACAATTCTCTCGAACTCTATTTCTAATCATTTACATTTTATTTGACGAACAATGCATTGAACTGTCCACAAAAAGTCAATATTAATTAAAAGGTGTTTAGCTCTATTCTGTCAAACTACGAGCGTAAAATACGTGTTAAGTTAGCCTTTTCTTTAATATATCGATTAGTAAAAAAACAACAACTGCAAATTAACACACCCATTATTTTGAAGTTAAAGTAAACTATTCTATCAAGACACTGGATAACCAATGGACAAGTAGTAAGTTGATGAAAAGATTCTTCGTTTATATGGCGCCGAACTACTCAAAATATCTAACATAGTTCAAACATTTAGACAGATACTTCAAGAATAGTTGTATAATAGTTGTTTTAAACAACTGACATGTTATTACACTATTGGTATTTAGAAATAGAGAAAGAAAACACTAAATGATTAAAAGATTAAACCTCTGGCGTAAATCTGTGCCTGTAAGAATCTACGTCTTCAAATCTTCTACAATAATGTGAACCAAATCTTAACATATATCCTCTAGCTCTGCATGGAAATCTCCTCTCAAAACAATTATAGAATTCACAGCTGCCTTCACTTCCATGTGTTTGACACTGTCCTTCTATTTCTGTTAAAATTAAAGAGGTTTGAGTTATTGTTAGTTATAAGGGTGTTATAATAATTCCGAATTCCTTCTTTGAGTTTAATATACTGTAGAATCTGCATTAAGCAGCCACCCAAGGGAATTTTCACAACTGACCGCTTAACGGGAGTGGCCTCTTAATAAAATCTCGGTGCTTTTTGTGCTGACATAAATTAAATATTACGCTTGGATGCATTGGAAGCGAACATCAATACTTGCATCGGTAAATTTGATCGTATCTGAATCTTGCGCCGAACAAATGTATTACATTTCTATTAAATATTAAAATTGATTTTGTATTTACAAAGAATCCTTAGTGTAGGAAATGTACACCTAGTGGTTCTAATCGTCAACTACAGCAGTTATTTGTAGTTCAGGTTTTGACCTCCGATACATTATAATAAACTTTGATGTATCCAATAAAACCGGAGATATATTATGCACACGTCGTACAGAATAAACGCTCGAAAAAGTATATAAGTTAAGATTATAATTTTAAACAATGTATTTATATTTCTGTAAATAATTTCTTACGGGAGATTTTAGAAAAATAAAATATGTTTATTTGGCCGTTAATTACAATCTATAAAATGCATTGAGTTAAGTTTTCGTCAATCAGGCGAGCGCACTTCACTAGAGGACATCTTGGACATCTTTCAGTAATTGTGTAAGTTAGTCCAGGATTAGTATTATTATTCACTGTCCATAACAATATTGCCCTAAAAAGGTACACCCGAACCCTATAAATATTAGTTGTATTTAATTTTGACATACCTCTTTCAGAATTCACTATTCTCTCTGTGTTTAAAAACCAAGCATTGGTAATAGTGATCACACAAACTAGAAGAAACAATTCATACTTCATCTTGACTGCTTCTAACAAGACACGATAACAAGATATTGTAGGGCGATGGTCTATATTATACCTAATTCGTACATCCGCTTTCAAGTGTCGTCTTCCGAATCAAAGCTTCTAAGTCATGTGATATGCGGATGTGCAAAGGTTGCGTACTCATTTGTTTACCTAATGTTATGTTTGTCATTTTGGGCCTATCTTCGAAATAATCTGTTGGTGACAGTATTTGTTTTTGAATCAACTTGAAATCAAGATGACAAACATATTTTTGAAAGTATTAGGTTTTCGGTGATTTAAAATGTAAACAACATTGCTGTTTACAGTCCTGACATGCATGACACGACACAATACTACAGATAAAGATATTTAATTAGTAAGATAACCGACTGACTGCAATATAAAGACAAAATCCTGTTCGACTTTATTTTATATCATGATATCCTTTCAAAGCAAGGCTATTAGACGTATGCACAGTGTTTATTAGGCCTAACACAATATAAGTATACATGTAACTCAAATTATATGATTTACAGGAACATGAAGATGTAATATGTAAAAAATATTAAGTGATACAGTATTTCTGATATAGTAATGCAAAGATTACTGGAGTTATCACCCTTTTGGTGTGTTCAGTTATTGTATCTAAACTGTAACGGACATAATTTAAGGCGTGATAATCCGACCTACCTGCAACTTAATTACGCACCACAAGTAAAGAGACCGGGTATAAGAAAATGTGGCGAACAAATTTTGAAATCGCTCAAAATTCAATGGTGGGTAGTGTGTTGTCTGATTGCAAAACGTGGTGTACAGAAACGAGGAGCATAGCGTCCCCAGAAATTCGGGAAAGGCGGACACAGAATTATATCTATTCCATTGAAAACATTTAGAACATTAGGAGTCAAATTTAAAAAAATAATAATAAAATAAAATAAAAAATCAATCTATTGTACTAAGTATCTCACAAATTTTATAATCCATATTCAAATCCGTCGAAAAACTGTGAAAGTCACTTTGTGGTATATTGGTAAAATCTGTTTCTGGAAAACAAGAGTTATCCTTCTATATATCCGACTGAAGTAACGAGTGATAACGATACAAGGCCGGAATTCTGCGCACTGATAATTCCATCGAAGACCTAACGTTGTTATATGAGAATGTGAGAGGATATCTGACAATTTATACAAAGAATTGTCTGCCATTAGATAAGAGAAAACGAAAAAATAAAATAGAAACAGTCCGTGTATTACCATGTTTTTATTAAGTATACAATTTATAAAAACAAGGGAAAGTGCGGGCTATTGCTATTTTTCTCGTTTTCTCATATCTTATCTAGTGACATTCAATTATAAAACACTTTTTCTTCTTCAACGGAATTATCAGTGAGCAGAAACCCGCCCGTGTAACTGTTATCGCTCGTTAGTTCAGTCAGTTATATAGAAGGATAACTCTTGTTTTCCATTTATTGCGTCACTTCCGGTTCTCCAAATCTTCGTTATGCATCTATCGTAGCAATGATCTCTGTGTTAAGATTATAATTGGAATATGTTAAACCAGTTCTGCCACATACGTGGCAATGACTGACACCAATATTGTCCTTTAACGCATTTAGACCATTGTTGGTGATATTCCTTTACGGCCTGCACGATTTTGTAATTTGCAAGGGATTAAAATGACGATCAGCGGCTTAGACTAACACGATCTGTTACCAGAATAAGATATATTGTACACGTTATTTGTGGCAGAGATTAGTGGATAGCAGAGATAAAAATTTCTTGAATTTTACATATTTTTTAAACAACGAATAAATCTAGCTAATTTCACGAAATGGTCGAACCCATCAAACATAGATGTACTACTAAAATAATAAGAAATTATTTGATTTTAAAAGGTATTTCGTCTCGGATGAAACACCCTCTTCTATCGGTCATCTGCAGATACATACCGACGATCTAATAAAATGATTTAACTGTTACAATTGTCCGTGATGCTGATACACGAAAATTCGTCAGACACAGATAGATGAATTTATATAAAGCGGCGACAATAAAACTTGATGAGATAAACTAGTAATATATGTATATATACAAATTATAATGTAATGCTAAAGTTTTAAACAATTATTTTTGAAATAATACAATGTTTTAAATTATTACCAAACAATCCAAACATCTAATTTAACAAAAACCTCAACGACATAAAAAGCTACGGTATTCAAATAAATCTGACAATATAACAAATATAAACACATTCAAATAATACAAAAGTAACCAAATTCTCCGCACTAATGTTATTAAACCGGTTGTCAAGCTTGGCCCACTGTATGAAAATGTTAACAGGGCCATCGTTCCTTTGATAGGTTTCACTCTTTTAATTTGTCCCCAAAATGAGATTTAATCCATAGAATAAAAACCAAACACTTCCATTGAGGACACAGCTGAAGATAAAGATAATGATTGTAATCACCACAACGATAACCATATCAAACCTGTTCTGTATGCTCAAATCAATTTGCATCCTATCACCAAACAGAGGAACATCAATTCAAAGACATTTGTCCACGCAGATATAGAACCGCTTATGCAAGGCCTTTCTGACGTATTTTTTGAATTTTTATTTTCCAGCCAAATAATTGGCATTCGCCCTTTTTTGAAGAAAGAGGCATTATATGCAGGATCAACATGAAAGTATAGACCAGTAGTTTTACCTCCACTGCGTACAAACCTTACCTTTTCAGGTTCGAAGCTATCATCAGAATCCGTGACAAACCAAAGAGGGCCAAAATATTTTCCTGAGAATAACAAACCTTTCTCCTGGTTAAGTACCATTGTACCAAAACGCCCAAAATGGAGGACAAGTGCTCCACGTTTCCCAAAGTAAACCCGTATTTCGCCAAACCCAAGATGGAAATATCGACCAACTAAATCCGTTGAAGGACGGAGACGTATTTCACCTGCAATGTCTCTACTAATTTTAGGTTCCTTTATATCGGCACGAACACCCCAGGGTGCTGGGAATGTACAAACTGTTGTATCGTTAAGCCAGGGCTCTTCTCCAAGTAACATATCACTAGCGTAACTCATTAAAGCACGGAGAGCATATATCTTTTCTCGTGTTTGAGGTCCGTTTACTGCAGCATATACGCCTACATTGTTTTCTGGATAGAACCATAATCTCGATGAGTGTGTAGTTATACCACCTGAATGCCAAATCTTCTTATAACCTGAAAATAATTTTTATAGAAAAAATATTTCCAGTGGTTATACATGTATATTGTAATTTTTACTTTTTATTCTATTATCGACATGTTATAATATAAGTCAATCAATAATATATGACACTTACCTCTATAGTTATAATATAAGTCAATCAATAATATATGACACTTACCTCTATAGTTATAATATAAGTCAGTCAATAATATATGACACTTACCTCTATAGTATGAAGTAACCCAACCAAGATCGTATGACATCTGAACATCTGCTATTGGGTATCTTGTTCTGTGAAGATCTTGGTCAGGAAATGGTAATGGCATCACGGGTTTAAATGTCTGTTCCAAAACATCGGATTTAAACACTTCTTTATTGGACATGTCTCTACCAGAACTCAACAACATCAATAGCCATCTTGCCATATCATCTGAGGTAGAGAAAAGAGACCCAGCTGGACCACAAGGGTGAACAGACCTTCAAAGAGAGACAGAACGCTTGATAAAATCTTGCATTTATTTGAGAAATTCATGTAGCCAACCGTCGTATTTGTTGTACTGTAAATTTGAACAGCTTGACTAGACTATAACCTGTTATCAAGTTGCGTATTATCCAAGATTTAGCTTTTTATGCACAAGACTGTGTGTGCTTATTATATATTTATGATACTATTTCACAGCCATGGTACTCATTTTATTTGAAATATTTTCTTTTCTTTACGTCCGCGTACTTTTACATTAATTTGGGACTTTGTATTTCTTTGATTTTTAATTTTGCATTACTTTTATCTATAGAATCAATAAACCGAACTTCGTCACCGTCTTCTGGCACACATTATCGCAAAATGCCATATATTTTGATTAAACAACTATTATATTTAATTTTCTATCATTTAGTTTTTGTAACGCATCAGCGACAGTATACTATCAATAAATCTAGAATTGTCTGGCGTATTTCCACTGTTTTTGTCAATACATCTTAATGATCATTATGTAATTTGATCATAATCAAAAATGTTTCTCCTCGATTGATTTGTATGGATTCAACTTTAGTGGAGTTCTTTTATTTACTTGTTAAAAAATGTAAATGTACATACTGGAGCAGTATTGGGTCCAAATTAATCAATTTTCCATGTTTAACAGCACATGGTAAGGCTATATCTTTAAAATCTGTTCTTTCATTGATGAACCCACTTGTTGTCATTTTAAGTGGCGTTAACATATATTCCTTTACCAAAGTTTCCCAGGATTTCCCACTTAAAGTCTCAGCTACATAACCTGCTAATGTGTACATATAGTTGCTGTACATAAATTTGCTTCGAAAGGGTGCAACCGCGGGCATAAAACGAAGGCGCCTGAAAAGATTGAAATAAAAAGATTATATAAAACTGGAAAAGTAAAGCTATTAGAGGTACTAAACCTTTAACGCAATATTATCTATAATACTGGAAATTAAAAACACTTATTAGAATTCAATATTGGCCCATTTCAATCAATATTATCTTAACGTGAAAATATGTAATCCTAATATCCAGTATATATGACACAGTGAACATTTTTAAATCACTACGCGACTCGCGTATTCTATGGACATATTGGTTTTGAGCGCCATTTGTAATAACCAAAGATAAACATATCCCATGAAACAATGCGGTTTACAACTGACAATCCTCCCCCCCCCCCAAAAAAAAAAAAAATAAATAAATAAAACAACAACCGTGTGGAGAGAGAAATTGGGTTTAATGTCCATTCCACTCGATTCAAACTAGGTCAATACGGGACTAACATATGACTCAATTTTATTTTTAAAATTCGCTTACCCGATGGGGACTTTAGCAGTGGGAGGAATCCGGAGAAGCCAGAGCAAACCCACGAGGTTGGACAGGCGACCACACTCCTTGTCAAGTACCGGGGGAGAATCAAAACCACGCCACTTGACTCAATGACAGACCTTCTGATGTCGAGAAAATTGTTTGTCAGGGTTTTGTGCATATTGAAATTGTATTGAGTCTTTTGCACAAAGAGGCACGGGGGTTGGATGGCCGAATGGTTAGCACGTGCGGGCTGTATCATACGGCCTGTCATTGAGTCAACTGGCGTGGTTTCGAATCCCCGGTTGTACATGACAAGGAGTAGGGTCGCCTGTCCAACCTCGTGAGTTTTCTCCGGGTCCTCCGATTTCCTCCCGCTGCCAAAGACCCCTACGCGCAAGCGAATTATTGAAATAAAATTAAACCATATATTAGACCTGAAATGACCCCATTTCTCTCTCATCTCTCTCTCTCGCTCTCTCTCTCTCTCTCTCTCTCACACACACACACACACACACACACAAAGGGGCACATATATTCAAGCGGTTTAGAAAACAAGACAAAAAACAATTATCTGCAAAGTCAACCTTTCTTGAGATGTCATTTAAACTACTGATTTTATTGTTTCAGTCTAGAAACTAGCTAATGAAACACATCTCATTAATTTCACTGACGTAAAAGGTAAAATGATTAGGCATGACTGGGTCATTGACAAGAAATCAGTGTAAATCCTGTCCACATTTCTTAATATTGAGGAGACAGCTGATCATAAGCTAGTAGAGAACCGCTAGGATTATCGGCTTTTCTTGTAAGTCTGACAAGATATTCTCAGGATTATGTCAAATACTTAATTATACGTGATCTGTTTACTGATACTCCAAAGACGCAAAGTAAAATCTCTTGTCTGGTATCAAATGATACTATCTTCTTCTCTAAATCTCTACTCGTAGTAAATATCTAATCACCGCAATTACACATGCTGATGGAATCATTAAAGGTCAGGGGGACGGATGGTGATTGTTTGGGAATGTCCGGGGAGCTCATAGAGTTTAAGGGGTTGGGCTGGACGTTATATACAAAGGAAACATATATTACTGTAACTGCCTGTTTGAAACAATACCTTTAACTTAAATCTTCCTATAGATCCAATTTTTAAGTGTTTTGGTCATCGGGTTCATATCAGGAAAATTAGTGATAAGAGTATTGCATACCTGATAAGTTTTTCTCTGGTAACATCTTCTGGGAAACCAACCAACAGAGCGTTAAAGTAAGCTGGTGTGCCTACTCGGTGGGATAGCAAATCTTGAATGTTAACCAGATCAGTTCTTACATCATCGCTCAGTCGAAATTCATCTCCTAGTATCGACTTAACCGAAGTTTCCCACGTCACGCTACAAGAATAAAAAACACATAAATATTTTAACGCTCGCATTGTAATTGAATGATCGAACTTTGAGATTGCTTAGAAAATGGACAGTTGGGATTTTCTCGTTAAGGAATATGTACTGATGTACGATTATACCCAGAATATTATGATCTCCCACTTCGATCCGTTAGTTCACGCTTAATAGGTAGTGACAAAACAGGACATTGACTATTCATAAGGAAGCTCACTCGAAGCTTTGACGTCCGTTCAAACAAAATCGTAATGTTTTAACGTTTACGGCCCCAAGAAGATGTAATGAATTTCTGTCCCCGAATAATGTAAACTTTTGGACCGTGATCATTATTTCCATTATCGACCCGGACCCAGAACATGTTACTTTAAAAAGAAAATTAAAGGTCCAATCGCAGCGGGAACGTCGAAACTGTTGGTGGGCGTATGTTTTCTTGCCTTGAAATGAACCACACAAATCCTAATACAAATCAGTGCTTCTTTGTTAATGTTCCCAAGGGACATGCTGAACGCGAACAAGCTGAGATAGGCACCAGCTATAGAAAATGACTACTGAATTTGGTTGAAATCAATCGGGTGGTCTAGTGGATGTCAAAAAAGTCAATTGTAGTCGAGCAACTTCATTTGAACAATTCTGAATACTTTAAGAAATGAGTTGAAAATGTAAGAAGTTAATAGACTAAACTTTTCAGCTTTTCTTGATTATAAGAAACAGTAAAAGCCACGCAAAGCTATTTTTGTATTTTGCTAAAAATGTGGCTTAAATAAAATTTTCATTTATAGCACCTGGGACTACCGTTTTCGGGACTTGCTATACAATTCATTTAATATTCGAAATAAGGTGAAATACAATCATACTAAATGGCCCCCGAGTGTCAGACTTGCTGCTAGAAGCTCTTGTAGATATTAGCATTTATAAATGTACCAAGGATATTAACAATTGCAAAATGTTACAGATTCAATACTAATTAAGCATAATTAATACATAGAATATTCTTAGGATATTCGCGCTGAAAATTTGTGTTTATTTGATCAATAAGTGGAAATGGCGCCAAAGAAGGGAACCAAAGACCACGAAGTACATACCTATAACAGTCATAGACAATTTAATCTCATTTCAGTCAAATCAATTAGGAATACTAATGTGAAGAAAACTTATTATTAAGATATTTGATATGTCTCGGAAATGTAGATGACACATAATAAAGATAATAAACGTTGGTTGTAAATGATGATATAATAAGTGAAAAACTACCACATGACGATCTATTTAAAACAATAGTAAGGCTAAGTTACAAGAAAGAAAAAAAAACTATTAACTATCACAATTTGTTTTACAGTACTCAAAAACTAATGAACCAGGGCAATAAATGCCAAACGTGAACCCACAAATTTTTTTCGAAATTTGAAAAATTAAGTGGAAAAATGACCTCTATGGGTACGGAAGGAAAGGGATCAGCATGTATACTAGACCCGATAAAGTTGATACTACTGTCAGACCTATACAGCTAAACCCTAACGCACATACATCGCCAAATGAAATCACACCAATTAAGGATATTTTACATAGAATTGGAAGTGGTGAATATCAAAGATAAGATCACACAGCCAAAGTAACAACATTTTGAATAAAAAAGAACTTATATCAAAACTAACGCACGATCTAACAAAGGTGACAGACAGTTTGCCAACTCTCGCTAAACGGATATCACAAAGTGATAAAGGACAGAATAAAGTCAAAAGATCCTGTAAACACGACATAAGATACTAACAACATGGTTAATGATAATACAAAAAGAATTGAACTCTTAGAAAGAGAACTGTATCATAGTTTCAAACAACTAGAATACAGTCAGTTAGAATAACATGCCCCTGTAAAATTTATATCAGACAAAAATGACTGACGAAGTAAACAAGACAATAATCCAGCAAAACTAGAAGAAACCCAACTTATGGGGAATGGAGAAGTGAATTTATCCATATAACATTCATGTTGGGGACACACTGTTAATGGGGGACCGTGGGGAATTTCAAGGATTATACTTTTGTTTTTTGATGACTGTAGACATATTGATAATCTTTCTGATAACTATGTTAGCGATCAGACCATAAATCATCTTAAACAATTAATGAATATTTGTATTTCATCAAATAAACTAAAATGTGGTAAAGCAGTAGGCCTAGATCTTATAGATTCCGACAAGTTAAAATGTGGAGGAAATGTTATTACCTCCATTATAACTAAATAATGTAATGAAATACTTTCCACGTAAATTCCCGATTCTCAGAGAAAAACATATATTACGTCACTCCATAGAAAAGGTGACAAATCAGATCCCAATAATTGTAGCACTTTCGTCGTTGCGACATTGTTTTAAAATTTATAGACAAGGAATAGAGAAATAAGATGGGTTAAACAACATTTTTTATCTTTACAAATTATTCTCTATTGTCAGTATATTAAGGTACGAGTTTATTTAAAACGCAATTATAAAATTACTGATCGAGTTCAGGTCATGAGGTCAAAGTTAGTTTGAAGTTTTATAATTAAAGGGACACATCAAAGTTTATTAATAATTAAATAAAATTTAATTTTAATTAAGAGTAAGATTTACAAATACTTTTTCGAAATAATAATGTTAGATTAATATCAAAATAAAGTTTTAAAAAAATAGTAGTAGTTAGTTCTTGGTCTGATGGCAATGACATGTTTGATTGACGGATAAAATTGTACAAACCAATCATACTTAGAAGAAAAAAAGAAAGTTTCAACTTGACACTATGGTAGCTGAAACAGACCAATACACATCCAAGAAGAAGAAATGGTTTACCAGTTTACCAAATTGAGATTTCCTCAGACAGAATGTAAAGTGAAACCTGAACGTTATAAATATTACGTGATGTGTTATAGTGTTTTGAAATTAGGACACTTGAAGATTTTAAAAAGACAATTTGTGTTTTCTGTGTTTAGGCTTAGTGAATTTTCATAGGATTTTACAGTGATGAACTCTTTGGCGAACTTTTGCATGCAACTTTTGACTTTTGATTTTTGATTATATGTGTGTTTGTGTTTTCACAGCTTTGTTATATAGTATAGTATCATTGATATTTGCCTGTTGCATGAATAATTATAGGGTTTAGCACATAGAAGTTTTTAAGAGTCTCCTACCTGTGCATTTAGCATAAATCTTGCAAGTGGGGGAGGTGATATATGTTGATTTTCTAGATTTCTGCTACATTTATGAATAGTTATATAATTCTGCAGATGTTGGTATGGTTATTGTAAAGGATTCAAGGGATCTTTTACCCAATACCGAGCAAAAAGTCTTAAAGGAAGGGACGAATGTAATAATATTGCTAGAATTTTTGCTCTTGAAATAAGATGCCTTTATATTTCATTAATTAATATCTTTGGCAAGTTAGTAATTTCAAACATATTCACATATATAGTGTGCACTAAATCAACTTAGTCTGTAATTGACAGTTGACATATAAAAAAGAGCTCTTTATCGAAAACATATGTCACTCATTTACCACCAGAATTACACGTGAGTGGAATTATTCTAATTGCATCATTTGATTTAAAGTAACCAATCATTTTGTTAATTACACAAGTTCAGGGCCATGATCACGAGTTATTGTGCATGATATTCATTTACCTTTAAAAGAAACCGGGGAACCCTGTAAGTCAGACTTGCATTAGATTCCAGAGATCGAGGGTACATCTGAGTTCCTAGACAGCCGAGAGGCTGGATAGGGTGGAGAAGTGGTTTTAGCTATATAGTATTGTAATTTGTGCTATGCTTGTATACCTGTATTCAGTTATATGCTATATAAAATGTAGAAGCGAACTATGCATTATTATTCCTGGTAAGACAAACGTCTTAAGAAATTGTAAGAAGTAAATACACAACGTGAAGCAGAAGTAAAGACAGCTAGAGACAAATTCTAGACGATCACAAGGCTACAGAAATATGTAGTAAGAATTTAAGTCAAACGTCTTAAGAAACTGTAAGAAGTAAATACACAACGTGAAGCAGAAGTAAAGAAAACTAGAGACAAATTCTAGACGATCACAAGGCTACAGAAATATGTAGTAAGAAAAGATGCATGGGTCGTATGTAGGATGTGGCGACCGGTCAGACAGACAGAAGACTTATGGTGCTACATAATTATAGAGCTATTGCGATATCTAGTCACCTAAGTAAACTTGTTAATGCTCTAATTAATACTAGGTTATACTCAACAGTATAATGTTTGCTATCTCAAAAACTATAAACGGTCTACCAAAATGTCTAGACAATTTAGAAAATTATTCTGATAAGTGAAGACAAACTATATAAATACAAATAAAACAAAAACTATGGAAAATTTAGAAAACTTCATTGATTGCAATTATCTTAGAACAGTTGTATCAGACTCTGGCTCCTGTTTTACCGCCATAGGTAATTAACACAGAAAGGAAGTAAGGCATTATGATTAACAAATTATCAAAAACAAATCCATATCTGTATCTTGTAAATTCACTACATATAATTCGGATATTTGACGAAAAGCAACAGAAAGCTAAAAGTAGATGTATTTTAAAGGACAAATATTTTCATCATCTTTCCTATGTATATTCAACAATTATTATAGAAAACTTGAATATTAAAATGCCTTAGAAACAAACAGAAAAAGTATCAACATAGCTGTACGCGCAGAAATGGATGCAATCCAATTGAGAGCTTTATTAGAAGATTAGCACTAAAAGAACTATGAAAGAATTAAAAAAAACTACCTGCTTCAAACTTAACAGGACTTGCGTTAAATGAAAACGAAAATATGCACGCAGAAGGGAGACACAGCTGGTTTTCATATTTTATTCAAAATTGCGAATATATAAAATCAAATATAGACTTAAAATATGCTATAATAATTTATTGTCCAAAACAAAAGAAAAGAAAAAACAGTAATAAAGGCATAGATGAAACTTCTTTAAATAAGCCAAGAACA